ACATCTGTACATGGAAATTATTTATTATTAATTACACAAGAGAAATTTGAGGATCATCTAGGACCTTTCGGGACGAAGGGGCAATTTGGGCACAGCTTGTTTATAGTAAAAGGTGTACGATTGACTCACTTTAAAGGCATCAGTCTGGCTAGTTTTGCCCCTATCTGGCTGAGGAAAACCAGTTCCTTGCCTAAAGTCTTGAAGAAAAAAAGTCACAGAAAGATGTCGCTCAGCTCATCGATCCCCAAATAGGGCACATACGTCACAAAGTCACAATTATCTATTTACTGGGGGATTAGACTTAGGGCTAGACCAAGAAGAGATTAAAATGATCTGACTTCATTAGCTTAATTAGGGAGTCCCAAATTAGATTTTTGCAGCTAAATTCTTCACCCACTCGGGGCGAGCAGCTGTTGCCAGGCGCCGGGCTCAAAGGTAGAGGCCCCAGAGAGGTCTGGCGAGCCCCTGGCCCTCCCCAAGCTGACCTCAGTGAATGATTGCGGGAAGCCCACGGGGCCACGTCCTTGCAGCCAGCATTGCTTTGACCTAAAGAGCCATTTCAAACGTTGCTTCCAGCAGAGACCCCTCTGACCTTTTCCATTATTACTGACACATGTGTTTAGCTCTGCGGCTGCATAATCTGCGGGGCCCGGTGCACGATGAAAACGCAGGGCTCCCTGTTCAAAAAGTGTTAACGATTTCAAGACGCAGCAGCAGGGCATTAGCCCAGCACGGGCCCTGTGCAGCGGGACACGCCCAGAAGCTGGCCCTGCCTTGCAGTCTGAACCGTTCACAGACTCGTCATCTAGGATGGGGTTTCTTCTCTCGGGGTCTAACACACCCTCCCCAGATGCTCCCCGCTTACGATGGTTCGAGTTAACGATTTTTGACTTTATGGTGGCATGAGAGCCATACGCATTTGCTGGAAACCTAACTTTGAATTTTGAACTTCAGTCCTTTCCTGGGCGACGGATACGCAGTAAAGATCCTCTCTGCTGATGCCGGACAGCAGTCGCAGCCCCTCGCCAGGACTGGCAGCCAGCATGAGAGTAAGCCACCAGTACACGGACAACCGTTCTGAACCCACACGACCGTGCTATTTGTCACTTTCGGTACAGTATTCAACACATTACACGAGGTATTCAACACTTTATTATACAATAGGCTTCGTGTTAGATGACCTTGCCCAACTGGAGGCTAATGTAAGTGTTCTGAGCACCTTTACGGTAGGCTCGGCTAATCTCTGACACTTGGTAGGTTAGGTGCATTAAATGCATTTTCAACTTGTGATATTTTCAATTTATGATGGGTTTACTGGGAGGTAACCCCATCACAAGCGAAGAAAGATCTGAACTCAGGAAGCGACGGCTGAGGTCTGTAGTAAGTGGGTTTTGTACACAGTGCGTACATGATTGGATTGTTTGCCAGGTGGGCACCTTTTTATTTATCTCGATATACATAAATACAGGATGATACAATCCCTAGAAGTTCGTATTCACGAAAGGAAAAGCACCATCACAAACCAAAGAATACTAAAAGGTATACCAGTCTAGGGTTTGAATATCTTTGAACGACTTGGAGGTAGTCTGGAAGACCTAAATACTATTCACAGAGTTCTGGAAGCCTAAAAATGCTAAGCTATCAACTGATTTAAACAAACTTGAGGACTGACAAGCTCATGGACCAAATGCTACAGCAGAAATTTTGTCAAGGATCTTTCTCAGCCACAGCAAATCATATTCCTTGGGCACCGGAGCGTCCAATGAAGTAGAGAAGAATACCCAGACAAGCAAGCCAGAAGGCCATTCGGAACATTGTCAAGACAGCTGTGTGTCAAGGTGGCATAAAGTTCCAAGCACGTCAGAGGTCAGTCGAGCAAAGATACCGACCAACTATCTTGATAACCCCTCTTCTTGTAACTCCTTAACTACGGGCTTTCTCTTTCCCTCCTCTCTGCTTCTGTAGTATCCTTTCTCAGCAATTTCATGTGCCCCCTTACTTTGACTCTTATCTCCAAGAAGAAGGCTCAGGGAGGGATCTCAGGCCTGTCGTCCCTGAGCCTTAGCTGCGCCTGGGAGGCACCGCCACCCTCGGGTGCCGGGTGCACCAGAAATTCAGTGAGACGGAAACAAATGGCAGCTTCCGACCCTCCTGGTCGTGAAAACTCAGCACGCTTTACCTTCTGTTCTTTTCCTCTGTTCTTCACATTCAACCAGATAATAACAATCATGGCTCCACACCCAGAAGGTTTCTCGAACCTACTTTCCTTAACCATCTAGAGCCAGTCCCGGGACTGATCACTAAGTCCCGGCTTTGCCTCCTTCAACTACCTGCAGCAGACAGTAAACTTTCTTAAGCTCCTATACTCTCCTGCTCGAAAACCCTCAGCCCATTGAGTAAATTCTTTCACTTGCATCTATAGCTTCCTTCAACTGATCTTCATCTACCTTCCAGTTTTTTCTTCCAGTAATGACTCCTTTGTGTGGATCTTACCCTCCAGCTCAACCACCACTCGTGACTTTTTTTTTAATCCATTTTGAGAGAGAGAGAGAGAGAGAGAGAGAGAGAGCAAGAGCAAGGGAGAAGCAGAGAGAGAGGGAGAAAGAGAGAGAATCCCAAGCAGGCTCCGTACCATCAGCACCGGAGCAGGACATGGGGCTCGAACTCCTGAACCACAAGATCATGACCCCAGCTGAAACCAAGAGTCGGGTGCTTAACCCACTGAGCCACCCAGGTGCCCCACCACTCACGACTTTTGGATATGCTTGATTCTTTCCTGTCCCCGCGGTATTCCTGTCCCTTTCGCTAGCACTTTGCCTAGAAAGCCTTCCTCCCGTGCATGCTCACCAGGACCCTCATCCTTCACGGTTGAACACCTCTGGGCCTGCTGCGTGGACGCACTCCTGGATTGCCCCAGGCAGTGGTCATTTCCCCCCGTCAGAGGATCTGAATTCCTGTGTGCTGTACTGTTCAAGGCTCTTGTCCCATCTGGTCATGTGCAGAATCTCCCGTTCTAGATTTTACAAGCAGCTCAAGGACAGGCCTTTTGTCTTATTTTCCTTTCCTGGGCCCAGTAAATTACTGACTAAATAGTAGTGATTAAACGTAGGAGTGGGCATCATAGATGTCACATCCAGCTTTGCAATGGTTAATGTTATGTTTTAATTTATTTTAATGTTTATTTATTTTTAAAGAGAGAGAGAGAGAGAGAGAGAGCGCGCGCGCGCGCGCACACACACACACACACACACACACACACACACGAGCGGGGGAGGGGCAGAGAGCGAGGGAGACACAGAATCGGAAGCAGGCTCCAGGCTCCGAGCTGGCAGCACAGGGCCCGACCTGGGGCTCGAACTCACAAGCCGTGAGATCATGACCTGAGCTGAAGTCGGATGCTTAACTGACTGAGCCCCCCAGGTCCCCCTGCAATGTTTAACTTAGGAGGGACCGTCGCTGACCACAAGGGCTGAGAGCTCGGTCCTTTAGCACACGTTGCTGCCCCTCACTGCCTCCGTGGCTACACCGCACCGGCCTCGCCAGCCCGCGGGGAGGGACCAGGCCGCGCGCGCGCCGGACAGACCAGCAGGTGCGCCCCTCAGTCCGACCCGGCCGCTGCCCCCGCCTCCCAGAAATCCTGCCGAGGCTCCAAGTGTCACGGAGCCGGTCTGGCAACACGATGGGAAGTCAGATAACTAGTCAAGCTTTCGCTCGGAGGCTGGCGGTCAGCAGCGCAGGGCAAGGAGGGCTGGGCATCATTCAGGAGCGCGAGGGTCGGTAGCCCGCCCTCCCTGCCCCGCGCTGGCTTTTCCTCACTTCTCGACTTCAGTTTTTCCAAAAGGTGACATTACTTTCCCCAGCACTTGGGCCCCAAGTATCTTCATTATCTTTCAAGACTTGGCAAATGCAGCAGCGTGTATTTAGGAGAACAAAAATCTCAGCCCACCGTCGCCAGAGAGGGCCACGGCTACTGTTGGGCTAAATTTGCTCTTTGAGGCCCATTGTGTTATGCAGTCGAGATTATACTGGGTCTAATTTTACGATTGTGTCTTGCTTTTTTCCTGCTGCGCTCATGTTATCTTAAGCATTTTGTCACGTCATAAAAAATTCTTCGTACAATTATGTGAGAGGGAAATGTATATTCTTAGCAACTGATAGAAGAATTCCTTTTAGGGAAAAATTGGCCATTATTGAGAAAAAAGCTCTGGGGAGGAGCAGGGGGCATACTTTTTCAATTGGTGCAGGGAGTTGAGGGAGCGAGTGCGTGAGGGCGAGAGGGAGCCGGGCTGCATAGTCTGAGCCCCCTTGACGGGTCTTCCCAACGAGGGGAAATCACCCAAATCACAACATGCCTGTGGGGACTGGAAGCTGAATGAGGCGGCCCTGGACAGAAAAGAAGCGCTCGGAAGGAAGGAAGCTCTTGGCAATCTGCACAATTAGTGGGAAAGAATTGCACTGTCACAAAGGGTGGAGTGGAGGATCGAGGTGTGTCAATCAGATATCTGAGGGACAAGGGGAGGGCCTCCTAGGGCCCTGAGCTGATATCGGGTTCACGTTCACAAACGGTCTTTTGATGGTGGCCTGGTGTTCCGTTCAAGGACACCATCATTTAAATGACGTCGTGTTTGGATTAATTCCTCGGACACTGAAAGCCCTATAGCTCGAGTGGTGCGAGCATTTAAAATTTTTTTTTTTCAACGTTTATTCATTTTTGGGACAGAGAGAGACAGAGCATGAACAGGGGAGGGGCAGAGAGAGAGGGAGACACAGAATCGGAAACAGGCTCCAGGCTCTGAGCCATCAGCCCAGAGCCCGACGCGGGGCTCGAACTCACGGACCGCGAGATCGTGACCTGGCTGAAGTCGGACGCTTAACCGACTGCGCCACCCAGGCGCCCCGGTGCGAGCATTTTAAAGGGATCTGTTACCTCGCCACCTGGTTGTTTTCAAGAATGTCTGCAAACAGGCAGCCGTGCCAGAGGCCCGTCGCTGTGCTCTCGCCAGAACTTACCTGCTATTTGGGAATTATTCCACACGCCACTGCCGCCGGGAACCTTTTTTTTCTGCCCACGTAGAAATCGTGTGTCTTATGCACCTTGTAATGTCTCACTTCCACCCCCTAAACGCAGCGACCGTAGTTAATTTTATATTATTGTTATTAGCAGACATGCCTCCCCTTGAACTATACCGTAAGCAGTCTGAAGGCCCACTCTGCCTTTCTTGCACTTGCTGTGCTGTGCCGTCAACATTGCCGGGGAGCAGAGAAGCCCACATTTCTTGAAAACAGTGGGCGGCTTTATGTCTCCTGACCCGGATTCCTAAGAGGATCAGGTTCTAGGGGGAGCTGCGATTTAGTTTGGTGACTGCACCACTGAGATGCTCCCTGGGGAATTCTGGAGAGGACAGGGAAGGCTGTAAATGGGTGAACAGTGCGCTGCTGTTCAGAAACAGGCAGGAGGCAGAGGAGGTGGGAGAGAGTCCAGCATGGAGCGTAAACGGGATGATTTGCCAAGGGGAGGCTGTGATCGCCCGGAGTCAGCAGGGGCTCGGTGAGAAAACTCGGGCTGACCGAGTTTCTCTGGCTGCCAGTGTTACGGTCGTGGCACACCAGAGAAATGCAAAGAGGAGGGAGTCTCCAGGACCTGGTTCAAGTGCTGGCAGTGGTTCTTCTGACCCTCCCGAGACAAAGTGTAAAAAGGTGGGTTGGATGACAAGCAGGACGAGGTGGTGAATCCACAGCTGCCTGAATAAATCCGCCCACCGGCTTGCAGAGCTGCAGATGGATGGCTAGATGTCAATGCGCAGAGGGGTTGGTCTTTTAAGAGGTGTTCCTCAGCACTCTCTTCTTGTGCCTGAATGGGCCCGGAGTCTTGTCAGTGGCTTGAAGCCGGTGTGGAAGGAAGAGGTAAGTCATGAGTCAAACGTAGGTTTGGGAAGGAGCGTGAAGACAGCGGAACCCCAAATCAGGATCTAGAAAGGCCCGGCGAATCAGAGTGCGAGGCCAGATTCTGCAAAATGGAACTTAGCTTGGGTCCCTCGAAAGAACTGCACAGGTACGGAGTGAGGGGCTACAAATTTCAGGGGCCGGAATTTCTACGCGATGCCGTGTGGCAGTCAAAAATTCCCACTTGATTCAATATCCACAGCTAGCAGACACGAGGCCACGGCCATCCTGCTCTGCACCCGCCTGGGCATAGCCTGGGACGTGCCATTACATTGCGGGGTACGTGGCGGGAGAAGGCTAGGATGATAAGGGACAGTTCAAGAACCAAAGGCTCACCTGAAAAACCTAAGTCTTAGAGAATACTCGGAAGGCACTTTCCAGAAGAGGCGTCATTTGGAAGTACATACAAACTTATTTTCTAGAAGAAATAAGTGGTGGGTTTGGTAGATGGTGTTTCCTCGGATGGGCACCATGCTCTCTCCTATCTCACATGTTTTTTCACGCTATGATCTTGCCACTCTTTAACAAAGACATCGAGTTTAGTCATCCTCCCCTTGAGTCTGGGCTTCCCTGGGACTTATTTTGACCAATAGAATTTGGTGGAGGTGGTGGCATGTAACTTCTCCAGCTGGACCTGAACAGTTAGGCAGTTTTCAGCTTTGCTGATTGAAATGCTCGCTTTTGGGGTCCAGTGCTAGCCGCCATCGCACCGCGAGCCCTGACAAAGCATCTGAGCCGCAAAATTCTGAGCAAATAAATGGTCGTCGTTTGAAGCCACTACGTCTCAGAGTGGATAACCGAAAGAGTGATAAGGAAGGTAGACGATGGGGGCGCCTGAGTGGCTCAGTCCATTGAGCGTCCGACCTTGGCCCAGGACGTGATCTCGCAGTTCCCGAGTTGGAGCCCTGCATCGGGCTCACTGCTGTCATCCTGTCTGCGCAGAGCCTGCTTTGGATCCTCTGTCCCCCTCTCTCGGCCCCTCCCCGGCTTGTGCTCTCTCTCAAAAAATCGATGAAAAACATTAAAAAAAAAAATGGCAGACTATGGTGCCACACTGTTTACCAGCCATTAGATCTGAGCGAATCATTTTACTTCTTTGTCCTGGTTTCCTTTTCTGCTTAACTGGGGGAGCCAACCCCCTGTGATTATTGAGGGGATGAAATAAGGCGTGAGAATCCTGTGGAATAATACCCGGCCTGTCTGAGCTGGTCAGTACTGGAGTAGTAGCAGGACTAAGGGGGAGAAGCTGTGAAGACATAAATTCAACTCTATTTTTTTTTTTCAAGAAAACTCTGTGATGGAATTGTCCAAACGTGGGGTAAGCTGCTTCTGGATGTGGTGAAACCCTCTTTCCTGGAGAATTCCGATCATGAATGGTGGCTGTCTGTAGACTTTGGGTATCGATGACCTTGTCAACTTTAAGATTCTATGTTCTGTCGTGCTGGGGCCAAGTCTTTGAGGAAGGAGCCGCTCTATGTGTTCGGTATGCTTTTCCTGAATTGACCTGAGCTAGATATATTCATTAGGAAGATGTACTCATCTGGCTAGATCATTACAGTGTCGAGATTACCAACATATTTTACTTGGCGTAATGCTTTCTCATCAGCCATTAATGTTTCTGAACACATCCTTCTGAGGTCAGCATCGCCATTCCTGTAAGATAAAAGACTTGAAGCAGAAGAGCTAAGTGGCTTATTAATTATTAAATGAACCGCTTAGAGCACCTTTCTGCCTGCGAATTCAAGCCTGGGACCCGAAGCCCAAGCCACTAGGCTTCCTTGCCCGGCAAGGTGGTACAGAGACCGTCCCGATCTCCCCAAACACAGGGGTGAAAAGGCACAAAGACACAGGACAGACCTTCCTTCACTGCTCAAGAAACAGCCCAGTGCGGCCCCTGAATTACAAAAGCTCGAGAAAGGAGGAGGTGCCTATTCAGAAGTTAACAAAGGAAAAGGGGATGTGGGATGGAAACCTTCCTGTCTGTTATTAACTAATACAATGTCCCAGACCTGTTCCCAAGGGCCCTAAGAGATGACAACCCCAAAGTCACTTGCAATTCAGCTGACCGTTTCTTGCCAGGTCATTCTAGGGCAGGGCACAAGATAAGGAAAGAGAAAGAGGAGGGGCAGAAGTTGGGGGGTGGGGGTGGGGCCCAGCTTGCTTCCTGTGCTATTCAGCTTCTCCACACTGGCATCAAAGACAGCGATCTTGGGACTCTAAATGAGGACAGACTGACCCAAGAAACAGGGACAGGTGGCCACTTTGCTACCCACTCCGAAACCCCACATGGGGTATTTTAATAGTGTTCTCCATCTGTCCGACCTCGGGGGCTAATCCCTTCCTAATCTGAGCTGTAATATAATAATTGGGTAATCAGAAAAGACACTCCAAAAAGCTGAGGCCGGAGGTTTGCTGTTCGTTTTGGCTAGACTTTCCCTTTATTAGAGCAAAGTACAGCTGACCTAGAAATTTCCCATTTGAGTCTCAGTCTTCGCTAAACAAAAGCAGATACTCCGAAGTATGCGTGTTTAGAGAGCACAGCCCTCCTTCTTGAGGGTGATTTCAGTCACTGCTCCCTGCACATACAGGAAGGAGCTGCTAGGGGACCATATGATCTTGCTCTCTGCTGCAAAATTAAAAAAAAAAAAAAAAAAAAAAGACGACAACCACGAAGAAGAAAAGAGGCCGGGGGGGGGGAGGGTAAACCTCATGGTTAGCCTGGGCTAATGAGCTCACTGGTGTGTGCCCAGGAAACATTTCAGAATGAATACATCTGCTGAGATTTCTCTCTTTTGAAAAAAGTAACCTTGTTGTGGTGGATGGAAATGAAACATAAATGAAAGCTGCGTGAAGCCGGATCAGAGACTGAAACTGAAGCCCACGCAGAAAACCCAGTAGGCGGTTGGGATCTGGGACTGAAGTAAGCCTGGCTATTTGGGGATTAACCCATCATGGAGGAAAACATAGATTTTTTTTTTTTTTCCCAAAGGAAGAAAAAAGAACACTTAAGCTGCGGAGGGCTGATCATACTGGCCTAGCACCTGGGAGGAAACAAACGTACTGTGAGGCCAGTTGGCTGGAGAGTTTCGCATTGAACTAAGGCTCACACTGGGGAGTCTCCTGGTTGCTCCCGAGGGCAGTGTCGTAGGTTATTCATGACAGTCCCCAGCACACAGTAGACACTCAACAAATGCTAATGGAGGCAGTCTAGAGGTGGCAATAACCACAGTCAGCACTAACTTAAGTCCGTTTCAAACATTTGCTAATTGTATTTGCTTTAAAAAAAAAAAAAGTAATGTTTACTTTTGAGGGGAGGAGGGGCAGAAAGAGAAGGAGACAGAGGATTCAAAGTGGGTTCTGCGCTGACAACAGAGAGCCTGACGCGAGGTTCAAACTCACGGACGGTGAGATCATGACCTGAGCCGAAGTCGGACGCTTAACCGACTGAGCCACCCAGGCGCCCCTAAGTGTAATTGCTTTAGCCAGAAAATGTTCTCTCCACAGAAGAAGGCTACAGGAAACGAAGGGAGCTGGGAGTGGGCGATAGAGGTTGGAATGGGGTTGGAGGGGAGGGTCTGGAGACCGAACGTGCCGTCTTGTAGGAGGAGGGAGCATGAAGGAAAGTGGACCCGCTGCGAGATGGGGGAGGCTTCCTTGCCCCAGCATGGCCGCAGAGTGGGCCCGTAGGCACCAGATTCTGCTGGCTGGCCGCTCTAATCTCTCCCTGCATAGTAATAGCAATGTGGCCAGGCGCATGGGGAGACCAGATTTCCCACCCTTTCTTGCAGCTAGACGTGGTCATGTGACTGGCCGTACCCCTCTGAACGCGAGAGGAAGGGATAGGCACGGTGCCCGAGTCTAAGCTTCTCCCGGGGTCTCTTTGCCTCCCACTGGGTAGAAGCAGACAGCCACAAGACCCCAGGGGAGATGTGAGGCTCGAGACCCTGAGTGAGCGTGTGCAAGAGACCCCTGCCCCATTGGCTTGAATACCTACTTCGAACTGGTACCTGAGCTAGACATACACTTGTTGGGTTGAGTCATTATTTGGGGGGACCCGGTACAGAAGCTAAGACCATCCTAAGTAACGCTTAGAATTCCAAGGGAAGTAACCCCCCCCACACACACCCCGTGTAACTCACAATGGGGAGGTCGTGGCCCCGGAAGCGAGTCATCAGCCTCTGATTGAGATGACAGAGCTCCTCACCTGCCTCGGCGCTACTGGCTGGGGGCTCTGCTTGTCACAGAGGGAAGTCCTCCTCCCTGTCAACAGCATCTTCTGCCCCTCTAGGTCCGAGTCAACTTATGGGAAGTGGGCCCCGGGCCACCATGATGATTGAGGCAGTGCAGAAAATGCCTGTCGTGGGAATCTGCTACACCTCCTAGAGACACAGAGAAACCGGGGTCCCAGCCACTTCGTGGGGAATGCATGGGGTACATCAGCTGCAAAAGTGGGGCTCCCGTGCCCCAAGTGATAGCTGCAGTGTGTACCAAGCCGATGGGCAACGATACGTTCGGGGAATTTGCTCAGACTTGCCAGAATATAGACTACACTAGAGAGCAAGTGTTTGTGCGTTGTGTGTAGGAGGTTTGGGATGGGATAGGGCTGGGAAATTGGACGAGAATAGGTCGTCAGAGATGCAGAAACCAGAAAACGAAAACAAGTGAAGACGCTTTTTGAAGTGCAAAGTAAAGTTTTGAAGCCCATGGCAGGATCTTCCAGTATAAGAGGTTTTTACTTGCATGAGGCAGGGTCATTTAAACTGGAAGGGCCAAGGTCCCAACCTAAGCGATTAACTTAAGAGAACACGTGTGTATTTTGCTGGCCCAGACTACTTAAGACCCCCAAGCTTTGGGGAGTGGGAGGAAAGAAGTTGGAGAGAAGGAATGGCAGGGTCTTTAAGAAGGAGGCCCTGGGGCGCCTGGGTGGCGCAGTCGGTTGAGCGTCCGACTTCAGCCAGGTCACGATCTCACGGTCCGGGAGTTCGAGCCCGGCGTCAGGCTCTGGGCTGATGGCTCAGAGCCTGGAGCCTGTTTCCGATTCTGTGCCTCCCTCTCTCTCTGCCCCTCCCCCGTTCATGCTCTGTCTCTCTCTGTCCCAAAAAAATAAATAAACGTGGGAAAAAAAATTAAAAAAAAAAAAAAAGGAGGCCCTGCCACAAAGGAGTGGGTGTGACACACGCCTCCCCGTGTCGCGGGGGGGCTTGGGAGCCGAGACCAGAAAGGGCCCTGCTGCTGTCTGTCTGGAGCCCTTATGTATGTCCCCTGCGCCATCACGGCAGGGACAGGGAAGCAGGTGTTATGCTGTGGGGCAGCAGCAGAACCAGACTGGCCCGGGAAAGCAGGGGAGCTTGGTGTTTGTGGGACTGAAGTTGAAACAGCTGAGAGAGCGGGGCGCCTGGGTGGCGCAGTCGGTTAAGCATCCGACTTCAGCCAGGTCACGATCTCGCGGTCCGTGAGTTCGAGCCCCGCGTCAGGCTCTGGGCTGATGGCTCGGAGCCTGGAGCCTGTTTCCGATTCTGTGTCTCCCTCTCTCTCTGCCCCTCCCCCGTTCATGCTCTGTCTCTCTCTGTCCCAAAAATAAATAAAAACGTTGAAAAAAAAAAAAAAAAGAAACAGCCGAGAGAGGGAGCCGGTGATCCGGAAGGCATCGAGGTGGCAATGAGGAGATGCCCTGGCAGAGAGCACCTCGCTCATGTGGCTGCAAACCAGGTGGGAAGGAGGAACCTGGACAGGGGGGCCTCCGTTAGCTGCACGGGCTGCTTCGTGCTCACTGTGGACCTGCGGAAAGAGCCGTGTCAAGCCAGTGTGTGAGGCTGCTTTGCGTCCGAAAGCAGACACACAGTAGAATTTCCTTAAAGACGAGCGAAAGTTACCCCCAAGGGGCCGGGTGCTTGGGCTTTAATTCATTTCTCGCAGCCCCTCCGGGCTCCCGCTTTTGAATTCCTGCGCCTTGCGTCCTCCATTAACACCTGTGGGCCTCCTCTTGGAGTCTGGCTGTGGTTTCCACGCTCGCGAGGATCAGACGATCCCCACTGCGGAGTCTGGCCGCTCCCTGATGTGCATTCACCCGTGCCCCACACCCCGGCATCCCGTCCACGCGGGCCCCTGTTGTCTGGCCTCATTCTGCCTGGTTTTGGCTTCCTCGTGCCCACCTTGGCGCTGACAGCTTGAGGGCCTCCCACCCCACTCTGCAATCTGAGACAGAATATTTTCTAAGAGGCGCTCTGGCCAAACAGTGACCCAGGAGAAAAGGGAACTATGGGGAGGAGCTGAGTCGCGGTGACGGGGTAACGGGTTTCTCGGGCCACCCTGGCTTATGCGCAGAAACTGGAGAACAACAGTGGCCACGGTGTTTCTCTTAGTCTATCCCATCCACCGCATGGGGACTCGGGCAGCCCTCTTATCCTCCCGGATGGTGCCAAGAGACGCCAGCGGTCTCACGTCTAGTGCGCCAACATCTAGTCTTCTTGGACCACGCGATTTTCTTTCCTGTTTGCTCCGGCTGCCAGTGGTACCGTCCCCTCATTGCTGGCGACCCCAGGAGCGCCATCCATGCCCTTGAAATCTACCAAGGGCCTACACTTGCTGGAGCGACCCATGCCCAGTTTGGATCTGTCGAAGAGAGTCCAGCCACAATACTGTCTGTGCCAAGGGCACTGGTGACCGGGCTGAAGGATAATAGTGAGGTGCATGCTGGCACCCTTGCTGGCAGTGGTGCTTATTGTGGGTTGAACGGTGGCTCTAAAGATGTGTGGAGGTCCTAACCCCGGTACCTGTGAATGTGACCTTATGTGGAAATAGGATCTTTGCAATTGGGACTGAGATATAAAACGACGAGGTGATGCTGGAGAGGGGTCCTTACTCCAGTGTGACTGGTGTCCTTGTAAGAAGAGAGGAGACACAGACACTTGGGGGAGAACATCATGTGAAAATGGAGGTGGTTTCAGGGCACCTGGGTGGCTCGGTCGGTTAAGCGTCCGACTTTGGCTCAGGTCATGATCTCAAGGTCCGTGAGCTGGAGCCCCGCGTCGGGCTCTGTGCTGACAGCTCAGAGCCTGGAGCCTGCTTCGGATTCTGTGTCTCCCTCTCTCTCTGCCCTTCCCCTGCTCTCTCTCTCTCTCTCTCTCTCTCAAATAAATAAACATTTTTAAAAAATTAAAAAAAAATAAACGTTTTTTAAAAAGAATAACATGGAGGTGGTTTGGAATGATGTGTCTAGAAGCCAAGGGATGCCAATGATTGCCAGCGAGAAGCAGAAGCTATGAGAGAGGCGTAGGAATGACCCAAATACCAGCTTCCGCACAGCCCGTGCCCCTGAGACCCACCAACATTACAGATAGGTGCTCATTTTGCTTTTATCTGGTCTTTTCTTCACACCCCCTTGCTCTATGATCCGGGTACAAACGCACAGGGGCTGGGCCAGGGTGACACCTGAGTGGTGACCTGTGGAACCCAGAACACCTTACCCCCTGAGCTTTCCGGTCATTCCAGAGCCAACATGGGATTCTGTGTTCTCTTGAGATAAGCCCTTGCCCCTCAGCAGCCTCAGCTGTGTTCCAGGGTTAATGTGGAAAATTAGGAGTTGGACTGGGCTTTTCACATTGCATGTTACTAATTAGAAATGAATTTCTCCTCTGAGTAAGCATATACCCAGAGCAGCTATTACCCCACACTGAAAGCTGGTGCTCAGGCCAGATCAGCAATGAAAATATGCATAAGAGTACCTAAGAACCTCGGTCCAGCTCAGGCTTACTGTGCTTAGAGCTCTCTAGTCCTTCTCTGCCAGCCGTCACCTAGAGCCTTGTGTTCCACGGAAAGGAGGGCACAGAAAAAGGCCAGTAGCATGGGCCCCTGGGCCAAGCTCCCTGCCAAGGGGCGTTCACATATTTCTCCCCTGGCCACTGGGCACTTCACCTGTGGTCTCTCTCAGCTTGTGGTTGCCCAGGGCATCCCTTGGAGGGCGAGGACAGGCCGTGGTTACATGGACAGAGTTAACTGCTGGATGAGGGTCAAAGTTGGCAAAGCTGGGGCTCTTCCGGATGGTCCTCTTAACAAAGATAGCTGAGGGTCTTCACTCAGCTCGCCTTAGAGGACAGTTATGGTGGGGTGGGGTTGGGGGCAGAGATGGACAGGAAGGGGAAGCCAGCGTTGCCAACTGGGCTGGGTCCAGAGCCGGCTGAGTGGTCTGGAGACAGGAAGTGTTGGTTGCAGCTCAAGCATCATTTCTAAATGACATTGATTAAGCATTATTGCTTTAAAGACCTTGGGCAAATGTAAGGTAAAGCCAGTGGCCTCCTTATTGGGAATGCTGTGACAAGGGGAGGTCCACGGCGGCTGCTGCACCATGGCCTTTTCCGCAGAATGTTCTGGGTGATGCCCGTCAGAAAATTCCACCCAGTAAGTTTAGGACAATGGCTGGAGCTAGGCTGGTCAGAAGACACCCTGAAGAGGAATTTGATGATGATCATGATGGTAAGCTTTCAAATGATTTCTCCCTGTGTTTCTCTTATCTTGTCTCTTGTTTTGATTGTCTTCCTCCAAAGACGCTCTCTACCCAGAGAGAAAAGCCGTGACTGAATAACAAACACTCCCTTGTGCCAAAACAGAAAAGCATGCACATGTCTCCAGCAAAGGCAGCTTGCTGTTTACGTTTGTGAAGTATCCTATCATTCTGGAACAGCTTTTTTTCCTTTCTTCTTCTTTTTTTTAATGAAAACAATTTTTAAATGTTTATTTATTTTTGAGAAAGAGAGAGACAGAGTGCAAGTCGGGGAGGGGCAGAGAGAGAGGGAGACACAGAATCTGAAGCAGGATCCACGATCTGAGCTGTCAGCACAGAGCCCCATACAGGGGCTCTAAACTCATGGACCATGAGATCGTGACCTGAGCTCGTGTCAGAAGCTTAACTGACTAAGCCACAGAGTCACCCTCTAAAATGTTTTTTAAAGTTTATTTACTTATCCTGAGACAGAGATAGCACGAGCGGGGGAGGGGCAGAGAGCGCGGGAGACGGAGAGTCCCAAGCAGGCTCTGAGCCATCAGCACAGAGCCCAGCGCGGGGCTCGAGCTCACGAGCCACGGGATCATGACCCGAGCCGGAGTCGGACGCTTAACCGACTGAGCCACCCAGGCGCCCCCGGAACAGCTTTTCTTCCGAAACATTTCTCCTCAGCTTCTTTCTCCTTGAATTTTCTGTTTGCTCTTTCAAGTGGCAGCGTGGGGGTGGGGACAATGGTGGAGTTGGGGAGAAGCAATGAAAGAGGAAAACATAACCCCCTACAGGGATGCTTCTGGCAAACTTATCTTCACTGTCATGATCTGTCTTTCAGGGACTAAAGTCACCAGTTTGTGCAGATGCAGATTTTGCTTCCTCCACTCTTGACTGTGAAGAGCGATTTAAGGTTGCGTAAACCCCTGCCATGGTTCATAACCATGACCTTTGGCTGCCTGACCTCCAGCAGGCTGCCTGGAACTCTTAACCATCCACCTCCCTTGCTGGCTTTTGGGCCCCGGGAAGGGGTGCTCTCCCCGAGTGTCTGGTTCTTCTGGTAAGGTCCTTGCAGGCTGGCCACGCTCTCCTTTTTGACAGTCCCTGTAACAAGGACCTTAGGTTAGAGGACATTTGAAGACCCCCATGCACATCTTGACTTCTAAAGCTCCCTTTGCTGGAGGCCTTTGGATGGTTCTGAGTGTGGTGCCTTCTTCTGCCTCTGGGCCAAGGACTGAAGACTGCTTTGTCCCTTTGTTTTTGTTGGAGTCTCTGTGTCTCAAAGGGAATGATACGCATCCCAGAGTCCTGGCCACATTTTTCCAGGGGGACCCAAGGATTGTCACGCTAATGAAACTCAGATTGGAGTCCTGGGAGATCAGAGCTCTGCAGTAGATAAGCAGTCCACTTTCTCCCAGCGCCAGGCTTGGGGAGAGAGCAGGGGAGAGTGTGTATAGAGTGCTTCACCTTTCCCAGATTCCTGCCACGAACGCTTGTGGACGGACAGGTACGTCGTCGTAACCCATCAGTCAGAGCGATTTCAGGATGCGTATAAGAGAACTGAGAAAGGTTTTCAACCGCCTTCCAAAGGCTGGTGGAGAAATAACAGTTGCGTTTCGCTTTACAGACTTCATAGCTCTTCCCTCCCTGCGGTGATGTGAAACCTGATTCCTCATGGCAAGTGGGCAGTTAGAACCGGCAAAAGACCTGGGTCTTAATGTTACACCCTGTCCAGGAGAGACGTGTGCCAAGAATTGCAGAGACCCGGTTGGATTCAAACGCGAGAATGAAAACCTCTCCTGAATCCAAACTCCCTGCTCTTTAAATTTTACGAAACAGCGTTCTTGATCGAAATCAGTAGAAAAGGGCAAGGGTGCAACGAACAACCCCAAGGCCTAAATTCAAACCAACTGTGTTCCGTGCTACAGGAGCTGCAATGGCCAACACGTCAGTAGTAAAACTGCGGCTCCAACCCATAGAGAATGGAGTTTCGGGGTAAAATGCAAAGCTCATAAAAAAGGATGCTCGAGGGGCGCCTGGGTGGCGCAGTCGGTTACGCGTCCTACTTCAGCCAGATCACGATCTCGCGGTCCGGGAGTTCGAGCCCCGCGTCGGGCTCTGGGCTGATGGCTCAGAGCCTGGAGCCTGTTTCCGATTCTGTGTCTCCCTCTCTCTCTGCCCCTCCCCCGTTCATGCTCTGTCTCTGTCCCAAAAATAACTAAACGTTGAAAAAAATAATTTTAAAAAAAAGGATGCTCGAGGGGCACCTGGGTGGCTCAGTCGGACTCTTGATTTCGGCTTAGGTCGTGATCCCGGGGTTGTGGGACAGAGCCCCAAGCTGGCCTCCGCACTGGGTGTGGAGCCTTGCTGGGGATTCTCTCTCTCTCTCCTTCTCCCTGTGTTCCTCCCCTGCTCAGCCAGTGTGAGGGCTCTCCTCCCCCCACCCCACCTGTCTGTCTCTAACAGCAACAAGAAAAAACAACAAAAGTGAATCTCGAGATGATTCGGGGAAACATGGCTATTCACATTGATGTAAACATTGCATATTCCTAAATAATATTTATGAGTAAAATAAATGGTATATAAGTATTGTTACATATTTATCACGTTCTTAAATAATATTAAATGTATATGTTATGTGTGTGTGTGTACATGCTTCTCCATATTTCTTTTTTTATTGCTAATAACCCCCCAGCCAGGATCACGGAATTAGGTGGGAAGGTTACAATATTAGCAGTCACCTTCCAAGTCAGACTGAAGAAAATATCCCCAGATTGGGCGGTTCTCTGGGGCAAGGTTTTCCTCTCCCCAGATCATGTGGGTTGGAGCAGCCGCAGAGACTCTTGGGCCCTCAGGGATGCTGCCAGGCTCTTCCCCGTCCGGAAGGGGGAGAGGGCTGCAGGAAGGCCTGGGGGTGTTGAAGGGGACGGGGTGGGGGGACAGGAGTAAAGCTCGTGGCCCGCGGAATGAAAAAGAAGGCGGCAGGCCCTGGCCTCCGAGCACCACCTGTGGACCTGAGATCCTCAAATAGGGTGTCCCACTCTGCACTCATCCGCCGTGGCCCAGTGCGGGCCAGGCAGTGGCTCCCGTGGCCCGAGCCCCAGGAGCTGGGGTCTGAGATAAAAATCTATGGCTGTCCCTAAGGACCAGTCCACGTCCACCCTGCAGAACTGTTGCACCTGCAGATTTGTGCCGAGCCGAGCGGCGGGCGAGCCGCAGAGGCGAACAGACGCGCTGCCTGCCTGCTGCTGCCTGGGGCCCAAACGGTAGGGCCAGACACGACAGGCTGGGGGCAAGACACACACACGCGCGCGCACACACACACACACACACACACACACACACACACACACACACACAC